ACTTCTGGTCACCTGAAGAGTTAGTCTATTCTGTACCTGAGCACAGCCAGGAGTGACCCTGAGCGCCACTGGGTCCCCACTGCCACCCCTGAATGGCCTTAAGTATTCCAATTAAAATGCAGATTGTAAGATTGGATTTTTTTTTTAAAGCAAGATATTCTAAAGCACTGACTAGGAACAGACCTGAGAACTGCTGGGCAGGGCTCAAAAATGACACAGAATGGAGCACCTTAGAGGCAGAACTGTCCCTGTTCAGCCCTTTATTGGAAGGTATGACCTGTACAATAAAGGAAAACAGAAGGTGCCCATATTGGAAAGAAGTGTAACTCTATGCACAGGCAACATGAGCATCTATGTAGAAATCTGCTGTAAACTAAAACACTATGAAAGTGGATTTAGCAAGCTTTACAGAAATAAGATGAATCAATACAAATTGTAATTCTACATTGAGTCAAAAATAAGAAACAGAAACGGATCATTTAACATGGCAGCAAAGGCATGAACTGTCAGGGCTGGGATGTGGCTCAGCAACAGAGCACTCGCCTTGCACGTGAGAGGTAGAGAACCCGGTTCAGTCCTGGGCACTGCGAAAAAATCCCCCAAACAGAACACAACAAAAAAAGTAAATGGAAAGGAAAGGAAGAAAGGGAAAGGGAAGGTAAAAGGGCGACGGGAGGAAGGGCTGAAGGGGGAAAGGGCTGAAGGAAAAGAAATCTGACCAAAGGCAAGAAGTCCTAAATACTAGAAATTGTAAGATATTGCATCACTGGGGCTGGAGCAATAGTACAGCAGGTAGGGCGTTTGCCTTACACATGGTCGACCTGGGTTTGATCCCTGGCATCCAATACGGTCACAGGTGCCCTGCCAGGAGTGACTCCTGAGTGCAGAGCCAGGTCTGAGTGCAGAGCCAGACAGCAGCAGATGACTACAATACCACGAGCAAAAATACAAAGATACAAAATTCACAGACAGGAGAAACAGTGACCTGGATGACACTACGGGAAATCTTCATACTCTCAGCACTCTGTGACATATTTCATCCTACTATACATCAGACTTGAAGATAGAACTCAGTATTGCAAACACGAGGAACCAAGTAGAGCAGTTGTTAATGTATGAACAACCATAACAGAAGTGGGAGCTGGTGCAATAGCCTCTGAGTCCCTCGATCTTGGCATGGGCTTCTGCAAAGCAATACCCACAGAAGCAACTGGAATGGTCCGGAAAAGATCACCCTCAGGCATTCCTCTGGCTTCCATTCCATTATGAACAGGCACATTTTAAAGCCTGGTGGTTGCGGTTTGGATCTCATATTTTCAGTGTTGTTGAGGGCTCTATTGCAAAGATGTCAACTGTTTCCAAACCAATCTGTAGATTTAACATAAAGCCAACTGTAATTCCACAGGTGTCTTGGTAGAACCTAGTAAGATGTACACTCAGAGAAATCAAAGGTCTGCTAAAACAGAAAGAAGCTGCCAGAAACAAATCCGCACTACATGAGGGACAGAGAGATAATACAGTGGGGGAGGGCACCTGCCAACCCTGAGCACTGCCGGACGTAGCCCCAAGACAAACTAAATAATCCAGTTGCTATGGACAACTGCGACCCGCCCCCCCCCCCCCCGCCACACACACACACACACACACACACACACACACACACACACTTTCCCCAACATCTGCACTCCCAAAACGACAGAAAAATAATTTTAAAAATCAGAAGAAAAGCCATAAAATCTAGGGGCTAGAGAGCTAAGTATAGCGGCAGAGCAGATGATCCCCTGAGTCCACCAGGAGGGCCAGGAGTTATGCCATGAGCACCACCAGGGGTGGCCCAAAAACAAGACCAGGAATGAAAACTTGTAAGATTTAAACATTGATCATGAAACTATCACAAATAACTGAGATCTTAAGTTAGGTAATGATGTTGCAGGTAGGATACCAAAAACAAAATCCATAAAAGAATCAGATAAGTGGAACTTTTTCAAAATTAAAAAAAAATTCATTCAAAAGACACCGTAGAGAATGAAAACAGAATAGAAGACTTGAATAGCAGACTATATGAAGCACCCTGAAAATTGCGATTTTAGCCAACAAAGCAGGCCAGGAAGGGTTCAGCTCTTGCATTTGGGAGTCCTGGGTTTAACGTCCATCACTGCTCACATCCTTGAGCACCCAAGCACCACTGGGGAGCACCACAACAAATTCAAAGCCCAGAAACCCTAGCACTCAAAATGGGGCAAAAGATGGGGTAGAAGGGACAGCAGAGGGGGTTCAGGCGCTTCCCTTTCACGCGGTGGTATCCGATTCCATCTCCCACACTGCATATGGTCCTCCAAGTATTGCCAGGGGTCACTCCTGAGCACAGCGCCAGGGATACCCTGCAGATGTCCAGGTGCAGCCAAATACCTCCGCTCCTCTGCCCCAACCCAAAAAGGCAAAATATTGGGGCAGATGATTTGCCATAGATAGATGACAAATAGCGCGTGGATGTCTAACATGTGTCTCTAGGGAAAAAAAAAATATGTGTGTGTGTGTGTGTGTGTATATATATATATATATATATATATATATATATATATATATTGGGGCTCTTAGACAATAATGCTCAGTGGTGACTCCTGGCTCTGAGAGCTCAGGAGTGACACCTGGTGGGGGGCCATATCTGGTGCCGGGGATGGAAGAGGGGTGGGCTGCATGCAAGGCAAGCACCTTATTGCCGGTCCTCCCTCCAGCCCCCAGGGAAATATATACTAAAATCATTATGCAATATTGTTACGCACCTGTGAGGCACACTGATCGTCATGAAGTGAACAGGAACTCTCAAATTGGTACTGGAAATAAGAGATGATTCAAACCCTTTGGTCTCGAGCCTGAGAGTGGAGGCAACCACTCCTGTATGAGGCAACCACTGCTCACTTAGGCAGAGCCTGGGACTTGTACCCTTGCCTTAGGGACTAGCTGCAGATAGACAAATGATGGTCTGGCTAGTCACTGGAATACTGCTTAGAGAGGAAAGGAATGGAGTACTGACACAGAAAAGAGGGATGGCTTTCCGTGCAGAATGAAAACAAAGCAGCAGTGACTAGAAAATCAGATTTATAGGGCTGACCCAGGTTCAACCCCCAGCATCCCATATGGTCCCCTGAGCACCACCAGGAGTAATTCCTGGGTACAGAGCCAGGAATAAACCCTGAGCATCGCGCCAGGCGTGGCCCAAAAACAAACAAAAAAAAAAAAAAAAAGAAAAATATCAAGTTTAGGCGTCGGAGTGATAGTGCAGCACATAAGGTGCTTGTCTCGCATGGACCTGACCTGGGTTCGATCCCCAGAACCCCATTAGTCCACTGAGCATTGCCAAGAGTGATCCCTAAGGGCAGAACCAGGAATAAGCCTGCAGAACTGCTGAGTGTGGGAAGGAAGGAAGGAAGGAAGGAAGGAAGGAAGGAAGGAAGGAAGGAAGGAAGGAAGGAAGGGAGGGAGGGAGGAAGGGAGGGAAAGAGGGAGGGAGGAGTAGGGAGAGAGAGCATCAGGTACAGGTCTGAGAGGCAGTGGTGTTGAGCTCTTCCATGTGACAGCAGGCCACTCCAGCTACCTCGTCTGTAAAAGGGGATGGATTCCAGAGGCTGCCCAGGGTCTCAGAGCCCCGATGCGGTGGGCTAACACGGGAAAGTGCTTGAACAGTCCCTTCCATGAGCAGCACTTGTTTCCTCTGCGCCCCTCCCACTCCCCACTGTTCCCGCCTCATTCTCATTCCCAGCGATGCTGCGGGTGCTGAAACTATCTCTAATGCCCCTTGAGTATGTGGCAGTACAGGAACCCAAGCTCCCCCCCTCCCCTCAGGGTTTTCCAAACTGCTGTGACTATGTGTCCTTTCCCGCACAGCGAAGACCACTGACAGTTAACAGGGACAGGAGCAGCTCAGCCAGAGCCCCTGGACACACCCAGACTCGAGATCTAACTGCTCCTTTCCTTGATGACGTTTAAGCCCGTGAATTCTCGCCTGTCCTTTTCCTTTTGGGGGTTTTATATTTTGGGGCCACACCAATGGTGCTTACTTCTGGTGCTGTGCTCAGACATCACTCCTGCTGGGCTCAGAGGACAATATGGGGTGCTGGGGATTGAACCTGGGTTGACTGCATGCAAGGCAAGTGCCCTACCCACTGTACTAGCTCTCTGGTCCTATTTCTAGGTATTCTGTCCTATTTCTAGGTATTGTAGGAGTGAGGACAGAGAGGGAAAATGAGTTGACAGTGATGTACTGGAGCTGAGAAAATAAGATCCTAGGTTTCACTGCTAACAAAATCTACACTTGCCAGCTGTTTCCTACTTTGGGGTCCCAGGGGCAAATGCTTCTTTTTTTTCCCCCTTTTTGGGTGGGATAGAGTGATAGCACAGCGGTAGGGCATTTGCCTTGCATGCAGCCAACATGGCCAACCCGAGTTTGATTCCTCCGCCCCTCTCGGAGAGCACGGCAAGCTACCGAGAGTATCTCGCCTGCATGGCAAAGCCTGGCAAGCTCCCCGTGACCTATTTGATATGCCAAACACAGTAACAAGTGTTACAACGGAGACGTTACTGGGCCCACTCGAGCAAATTGATGAACAACGGGAGGACAGTGACAGTGACAGTCTTTTGGGGTCACACCCGGCGATGCACAGGAATTCCTGGCTCTGCACTCAGGAATTACTCCTGGCAGTGCTCGGGGGACCATACGGGATGCTGGGAATCGAACCCCGGGTCAGTCACATGCAAGGCAAACGCCCTACCCGCTGTACTATGGCTCCAGTCCTGGGCAAACACTTCTAAATGCAACTGCAGGAGCTGAGCAGCTGGGAGGCAGCTGCTGTGGACGGCCCGAAGCAGGCCAGCAACAGCGGACTGAGCCTTGAAAGGCCTGAGGTAGGACTAAGCTGGCGAGACACAGGCAGCTTCACCCGCTTGAGGAAGCCGCCTCATGTCCGATTCCGAACCACAGCAAGAGATGCAAGACACCGGGCAATAGGACAATGGCATATTTATTTACAACGGGATCAAAAAAAGGCATACAGGCATTTTTCTTAATTAAAAATAATAACGATGATTTAAAAAGTCAGAAAAATGGATGATAATCGAACTCTTTATGAGTCCATTTCCCCCACAAACCCCCACAAGAGAATCTCTTCGGGAAAAAAAAAAAACCCACGATTGGAACGAACAAAAGAACTCATCATCGGCGCAGGGTCCCTTTCCTGCCGCCGGATTCCTGGGTGCCACCTGGCGCTGCGGCGTGACCGTGGTGAGGCGGAGTTCACTGGTCTGATTGGTGCAGTCGGTGGGGCCTGGGGCAGACGCTGGGTTGGGGGTGAAGGGCGTGAGTGTTCCTGGCTCTGTCTCGTGGTAGGAATCCCAAAGCTGCTGGAGCCAGGCCGTGTGGCTGTTCCTTCAACCCTCATCCCATGGTGGGTTTGATGGCTGGCCACTGAAGAGTGGATATCCTTGGGGTGAGGGGGATGGTGGGGTGGGGGGCGGCCAGGGTTATCGATGTAGGAGCCAGGCCTGCCCCGTTCGTTCCCATTTCCTAAGCCTGTTCCTGGGAAGTGGGGCAGGCAGGATGGCACTTACCCCCCGTCATCCCATCACAAGAGGGCTCTGGGTGTCCGCAGAGGGTCACGCGCTGGAGGGGCCAAGAGCTCAGAGAGCCCCGAGTGGGCACTGAGGCGGGCGAGCCCGGGGGGAGACTTCGTAAGCCATACATACAGCCCACAGAGCAGCTATCCCCAGAGAAGGGGCTGGGGTACCCTCGACCCAGACTGCCCCCGCATGCCTGGCTCTGGAAACACTTGGCCCCACGTCCAGGGTTTATTTCTTGGCACAAGACAGTTCACTGAAGTCTCTTCTTTAGACGAGCCGACTCCTGCCGCTCTGAGCAGGGGGTATCCTGCTGTTCTGAGACCCTGGGCACCCCCCACACTTCCAGGGATGAGACCCGGGCTTGCTCCGGGCGACGAGACGAGCAGAAGCCCTTCGGGGGGGCAGCCCCGGGGGAGGTAGGGGAAGAGGCTGGCGTGCAGGCTGGCACTGAGCACGCGTGTCCCACCTGCAGCTGGGCTTTGTCACAGCATCCACGGCAAGGGCGGTGGCCAAGAGGCTCGGGAGCCCGGAGGAAGCCTGGGAAGGCAGGTGGTCACTCTCCCGGTCAGTCGTGGGGTGGCCAACAGCCCTGAGGAACTGAGGTGGAGACAGTGACCGGAACCCAGTGTCTCGGCGGACTCATCCGTCCTGGGTCCATTTGATAAAAAAAAAAAAAAACCCAAACCAAAAACCAAACCTGAAGAAACAGGTCGAAGAGTTCCTGCCGAGGGAACTTTCTCAGCACTGAAGAAAAACAACCCACAAAAAAACTCATCCCCCACAGAACCGGAATAAGACGATGAAGGAAAATGCAAGATTTATCTACAGGCCCTCCCGCACCCTCGCAGCCCCGGGTCCAGGAACACTGTGCCAGGAGTCACAGCCCAAAGGGCAGGAGCGATTTTATTTTGGGCGCCTGCAGTCCCCTGCGCAGGTGGCTTCCAGTCCGACGACGAGGTGGGCCTGGCCCTGGTCCGGTCCACCCCATCAGTCTATCTTCACAGCAGCGTAGATCTTGCGGACAAACATGTAGGCTGCATAGAAGCCGATGGTGCCCGTGAGGAGCCAGAAGGACAGGACCATGAGGGCCGTGTAGCCAAAGTAGAGCAGCGAGGGGATGAACTCGACAATGTCCAGCTGGGCACGAGCAGAGAAGAGAGACACGGTCGCTGAGTGCAGTCTGCCGCGGGCAGCGACCGGCGCCTACCTTCCCCGGTCTCACGAGAAAGGGGCAAGAGCTGGCAAAAGGGTGGGCGGCGGGTGCGAGGGGAGGGGCGTGGGCTGCGGGTGTGAGAGGACAGGGAGGGCTGTGGGGGGCGGTGGCGGGAAGGGGGTTCAGGCTGCATGTAGTTTCAGAAAGTGAATCTACAATCTGAGGATGGAAGTTCCAAGGAGGCCGATTTCCAAAGAGAATGTGTCAGAAGGAAGTGGCTTCTGCCACTAACTGCGCCAGGACAGGGTCAGCAAACTTTTTGGTCAAGAGTCAGAGAGGGGAGGGGGGAGGGAACGCAGATGGAGGCAGATGGACGTGACGGAAGGACAGTAGTGGAGGTCACAGGACCTTGGGGTGGTCATGTGTGGTAACTCTGTACATCAACACTACACATCAAAAACATAATACCTAAACTTAAAGATTTTTTTCTTTAAAGAGCCAAATTAAGGGCTGAAAGAGAGTACAGTGGGTAGGGTGACTGATTGCCTTGCACATGGCTGACCCGGGCTTGATTCCTGGCATCCCATATGGTCCCTAAGCCCCGCCAGGTGTGATTCCTGAGTGCAGAGCCAGGAGTCAGCCGTGAGCACTGCTGGGTGTGGCCCAACAACAACAAAGTCAGATTATAAATAGTGTTGGGCTTAAGGGCCATATGGCATCTGTCAAACAACTTGACTCGCCAGGGAGAGCATGCACCTCAGCTCTGCTGGGTACAGACAGCCCCCAAACTAAAAACCAAAAATCAACATACAAAAACTACCCACCACCACCAAAAACTCAAATGACTCAATTCTGCCACTGTACGGTAAAATCTCCCCACCTGGATGTCAGCAAACCAGCATGGCTGAGCGCCAATAAACCCTGATTCAGAGGCAGGGCTGTGGCTGGCACCGAGGCTAGAGTCTGCTGGTGCCTGACTGGGAACCGCTTGTGTGGAAGCTTGGTATGGGCCTTGGCATGGAGGGGCACGCATGGCAAACTGGCAGCGCTCAGCACTGCCTGCCCTGGGCCTTCTGGACTTTCTAAGCCTGACATTTTAGGAAACGTGCTTTCCCAGCTTCAACCAATAGACCCAGGAGCCTCGTCAGGGCCCGCTGCCTGGCTGCAAATCAGAAGTGGGCTCAGGTTTGGAGAGGCGAGGCCCACTGGAGATGACCCCCAGCTCCTCCCATAGATGTCGTGGTGTATGCAGGCATCAATCTTTAAACACTGCACAGAGTGGGTCTGCTCTGTACTCTCACCACTCTGGCTACAGTGAACTCTGAATGTGCCAGTTCCTGAAGGCTATTCCAGCACTTTCTGCTTTCTTTCATCTTTAACGGCCTCTCTTATCAACTTTTCTTATTCTTCCATGTTACCTTCTGTTCTAGCTTCCCGAGGTGAAATCTACTCTATAAGATCAGGTTTCCCATGCAGTGATCTCACTGTCATTTAGCCTGAAGCCTTTTCTCTTTCTGAGAACACACATCCACTCTTTCCTGAAATTCCCATGTGCCACGGCAACTAAGTCCTGGAAGGGCTCTGACGGGCCCCAGGTTTAGGGGGAAAGCACAGGTTTTCTCCCGGGCCCTTCCCTTCCCCTTGCCCACCCGGAGGGCGGTACCTTGTTAACAAAATAGAAGATGGCATAGACCAGGACGTAGAAGGCTGAGCCCCCAGAGACCAGGAAGTTTCGCCACCACCAGCGGTAATCCTGAGGGGAAAGAAGCGTCATGGCGGTCTTCAGGCAGGATCCAAACCCATATTTCACACTGGCCATGAAGGCGAACGACTTTGGGCTAAGAATACAGATAACTAGGGTGATGGGAATGTTTCTGATCTTGGCTGAGATGGCGGCTTGACAACCGCAGGCCCTTCTGAAAACTCACAGGACTGAGGACTCCAGAGCGAACCTGACTGCCGCCAACAGTGGGAGAACTGCGAGGACGACTCGCTTTGTTTAACCAAGCGCCCACCGCGTGTCAGGCGCTGTTCCCTGGAAGGTGCGCTGTGTGGCGGCTCGTTTAGTCCTGGGGGCAGCCCCCAGGCTGCCCTATTGCTGGCCCTGTCACACAGGGAAGGAAGGCCCCAAGAGGGCAGGAGGCAGTGCTCTGCCCGCTCTGCCAGGGGCTTGGCACGGAAGGATGGCAGGTCACCAGCCCCTGCCTGCTCTCAGGAGACCACTCTTGGCGTGGACATACCTGATCACCAGGTTGTAGGGACTCCCACACTTCCAGCCGAGGCATGCCTCTTGACCCCTAGCAGGGAGCTGAGACACAGGCCCTCGGAGGAATCTATACGTATGTCCGGGACTCAAGGCAGGCCGCGCCTCCTTACACACGGCCCATACGCATTCCAACCCCAGGTACTCCACATGGTTCCCGAGTCCCACCATGAGAGATCCCTGAGCTTAAAGCCAGGAGTCAGCTCTGAGCACTGCTGGGTGTAACCCCAAGTCCCCACCCCTCTGCAAATAACACCCCCTAAAACAAAACCCATCCCAAGCCCAAAAACCAAACGCAAAACCATAAAAATCTCAAGGCCCGAGGAGAGGCCCATGCACTATGCGGTGTCCCTGCAGGCCGCTCACCTCTGCACAGAGCTGGAAGTACACCATGACAATGCTGATCTGGGAGCAGGAGACCACCAGGATGATGAAGACGAGGAACAGGAAGCCAAAGAGATAATAAAACTGATTCTCCCATATTGCCTGTGGACAAACAGAGCCAACGGGGCCTTCAGAAGGGCGCCACGTACTCGACGGGAATGGCGCACCCCACCTGCACCGCCGGGGCAGCAGCAGAGACGTGGCCAGGGGGTCTGGCACCCGGCCGGGCAAGGCTGCCTTAGTCATGGGTGGTGGCTCCCAACTCCCACCGCCCAGTGAACAGAGCGCAGAGTGACTGGGTCCATGCAGGGCAGCTGCTACCTGGAAGCCTGGCCTTTGACGGCTGGGACGACCCAGGGGCACATGAAGAGAGGTGGCCAGCCACCCTCTGACCAGGTTTCTGCTCAGACCAGGCGGGAGTCAGGGCACTCAGGGAAACGCCGGGGCGTGGGAGAGCTAAACCTCAATGGCTCTGAGGGGCCCCTTGTGCCAGCCCCAACCCTGACACACTGGTCAAGGAGCTGCCAGCACCACGACTACTGAGCAAGGAGCTCCTGAGTGCCAACCCCGGGCCATGAGCCAGGATCCCACGCCAGGGAAAGGTGTGGGGGCACCTGGGAATGAAAGCAGACCTGGCAATGATGGTACCGTGGTGCTAAGGGGCCTGAAGAGGGGTAGATGGGGTTTACCCTTCTGTCCCTCACGGTGGGGCGGTTCTGGTCATCCTGGGAGACCAGAGGGGAATCTGGGCGGGCGGAAGTACTCACACTGAAGATGAAGAACAGCTCGATGAACATGGCACCGAAGGGCAGGATCCCGGCCATGAGGATGCTGCGGCAGAAGGGGAGGGTGAGCGCCGCCCAGCCCAGACCCCGCAGGCGCCTCTCGAGAGGCAGAGGGGTGGGCATCCGCCCCATCTCCCAGGCCAGGAAACAGGCGCCCTCCACTGTCCCACTGCACGGCCCACCCTGGCTTCCCCGGCCTGGCTCCTTCTGGCCGAACCCAAGTGGGGCTCCGACACACACACTGCTCCTCTCTTGGGGTCCAGCTGAGCTCACTGAAGCCACCCAGATCTGTAGGTGCACCAGTGGCACCCCCTCGCCCCCAGGCCCCGCCACTTCCACAGAGACTCACCCCACAAACCGGTTCATGTACCACCGCTGCTCGGGGATCTGCCGGGGGATCTGGTTGGTGCGCACAGGGTTGTCATACGGCTGCTTGCGGAAGCCGAAGTAGTAGCCCAAGTAGACGAGGGGCAGGGAGATGCCGAACCACATGCACAGCAGGGCCACCATGGTGGGGAAGGGCACCTGCGGGCACAGCGCTGTGAGGTGGGGGGGCGGGCCCACAGGGGAAAGTCCCGCTTCCCCCAAAAGCAAACCCAAACAAAACAGAGCAACAGTAACAACTGGAAAAAAAAAAAAACATGGACTGGGGCCTGAGCAACAGTACAGTAGGGAGCGCATTTGCCTTGCATGCGGCCGACCCAGTTTGATCCCTGGCATGCACAAGGTCCCCGAGCATCGCCAGGAGTAATTCCTGAATGCAGAACCAGGATTAACCTCTGAACATCACCGGTGTGACCCCAAGACAAAAACAAAACAAAACAAAACAAAACAAAACTCACATGTACTTAGTGCAGGGGAAGGGAGGAGGTGGAGGTTCAGGCTACATCTTACAGTGTTGTGGGGTTACTTCTAGCTCAGTGCTCAAGACTGAACCCGGGGTTTCCACATGTAAAGCACGTGCCCAGCTCTTTGCACTATCTTTCTGGCTCACACAACTCGGCGGACCCTGGTTCAATCCCTGGCACTGCCAGGATTATCCTCTGAGCACTGATGGCCCCGAAACCCAAACCTCTTCTACTCTCACAAAACCTTACCAAAAAGTAGGCTATGAATATTTATATATTTGAATGAAAACACCAATACTTATATGCATATATGCTGAAAACGGGCTGGAGCAATAGCACAGCAGGTAGGGCTTTTGCCTTGCATGAGGCTGACCCAAGTTCGATTCCTCTGCCCCTCTCAAGAGAGCCCAGCAAGCTACCGAGAGTATCTCACCCACCCAGCAAAGCCTGGCAAGCTACCCATGACGTATTTGATATGCCAAATACAGTAACAACAAGTCTCATAATGTTACTGGGCCCACTCAAGCAAATCGATGAACAACAGGAGGACAGTGCTACAGTGCTGAAAACAGCCTATACCAAGTACTTGCTCTGCAAGGATTTAAGGGATCGGAACCAATTTTACATTTCCATCTTTCTCCACTTCTGTACATTATGGTTCTTACAAAAACCATACCAAAAGGAAGAAATGAATTACTATAAACGTACTTAGAACAAAGAAAACATCACAGATGTTTGAGGTTGTATTTTTTTTTTTTTGGTAATTAAAAATTCTATAATTCCACTTTGAATATAGCTTGAAAAAAAAAAGAAGAAGAAGAAGAAGGGATGTTCAAAACTACAAAAGCACAGTCCAGAGCTGAGCGTCTCTGTGCTCGCGGGAGAGCAGTGCAGAGTCCAGAAAGGGGAAGGAAGAAGGAAGCGCCAACGGCTCCTGGGCGTGCAGAGACCCAGGGCTGGAGGGGCACCGGCAGGAGGGAGGTTCATGCCGCCTGCCGCAGACTCCAGATCCGAATCAGGACATCGTGGGCAACTGCAGCGGGATGGGCTGGCACGAGGGATTCCAGCCTCCCGCTGTGTGCTGCACCCGCCCAGGGGCAGGGGCATAGGAGAGGCCGCTTTCGGGAAGAGTGACCGACAATCACAGCAGTTTCCCGTGGTGGAGTCAAAGGGAAAGCCCCCAGGGGGCCCCAGAACTGGGGAAGCAGCCCCACAGAGACATGGGCGAAGGCCAGCCAGCTGACCGCGGGTTGGGCAGGGCTGGGGAAACGCCAGCTAGCCCTCTGCCACCAGAGCTGGGAACACAACTTTGGGTGCCCAAAAAGGGAAGGGAAAGGCAGGAAGTGACCTGGGGCGGGGGGCTGCCCGGGCGGGGCAGGGCTCTTACCGCTCCCGACGAGTGTTTGCCCCAGATGAAGCAATTCAGCACGAAGCAGATGCCAAACACCACACCAGGGTACAAAGTTGCTGTCTGCAAGCAAGAGGCGGGAGACTGAGAAGCTCCTGCCTGGGCAAACCCGGCCCCAGCTCCTCAGGACTCCTTTCAGAAGGGACCCCCTGATCTCAGAGCCAGGCCGGCCTCCTATTCTGTGTTCTTCTTATCCCTAACTGCCCTCCTGTGCCCCCACTTCTGTCTATAACTGGGTCTGATCAGCGTCTCCTGAGACCCCCCAGTCTGTGACACCCCCTCACCACCCAGGGTGTGTCCGCCTTGCACAACAATGTGCAGTTCCCGGCACTCGAAACCCAGGGACAGCTCTCTGCTGAACCGTGACTGATAAACAAGATGCTGATGAAAGCGAGTGTGGGCACCACGGCCCCAGCGGCCCAGGGAAGTGGGGAGCCCGCCGCAGAGGCACACACTTACACAGAAGGCGCCTTTCTTCCACCGGTGGCCTTTGAGAGTGCGGTAGAGCCGACCGGCAGAGAATCCGCCGAACACCCTATGGGGAAACAGCAGGGGGGGTGGGGGTGGGGCTGTGAGCAGGCGCACAGGCGGTGCGGGGTGGCCCCTAAGCCCCCTCTGACACACCTACCCCATGAACATGAAGAGGAAGCAGGCGGTGGTCATGAGCGCGCCCCGGCTGGAAGGCGACAGCATCCCGAGCATGGCCACAACTGCAGAGCAGGGAGGGGAGGGAGAAAGGCCAGAGAGACGTCAGGGGGCTGGTGCCGGGCCCAGATTCCACCCCTGCCCAGGTTCCCTTCCCACCCCCCTCCCACCTCCCCGCCAGAACAGCCACTAGGCTCCTCTCACAGGGTGCTGGGCTCAACTGAGGTCCACTGGGGCACAGCCGTCAGCACAGGTCACCAGCCGGGCTCAGGGCTGAGGGGATCAGCCGTGTCAGCTGACTGGGCCTGCCCCAGCAATCCGCTGGGAAACAGGGGCCCCAAAGTGAAACGGCCTGTCTCTGCCCATAAAGTTGGGAGGCAAGGGGGAGAGGCTCAGTGAGGCAGAGCACGGTCACTAGCAAATTTTAAAACTCTCATCACAAGGCAGAAATGGAATGATGTGATCATCTTGCAATACCTATACACACATTTACACATTATACATATACGTAAGTCTGTATTGATTGGTCTGTTTACCTTACTACTACCATGTTAAATATTGAAAGGATTAAAAAAACCTTGCCAGACTGACTTCAGAATTGTCTAGAAATCCTCCATATTCATTTTTTGGGGCTGGCCTAAGCCTGTTTTTTTTGGGGGGGATCACACCCAGCTGTGCTCAGGGCTGACTCCTGGCTTTGAGCTCACAGATCACTCTTAGCAGGGCTCAGGGGACCACATACGGTGCCGGGGACTGAACCGGGTTGGCTGCGTCCAAGGCAAGCGCCCTGTCCGCTGTACTCTCTCTCAGGTCCCACTGCCTGAAGTCTTAATCGGGGTGCTGTGGTGGGTTAGCCACCTGAACAGTTGGCACTAGAGGAGGCCACGCTGCCAGAGCTGCCGGGGGCTGTATGGCAGGCGAGCCCACCAGGAGCTGAGGCACAGTCTCTGTGGGGACAGGTGGCTCTCCCTGACCCAGAGAGAGGGAAGCCCCGCCCCTTGGCTGCCCCCTGAGGTCAGCCCCCCTCCAGGCGCACTCACAGATGACGATGAGGATCATACAGAAGAGCTGAATGCCTGAGCCCAACAGGGAGCTGAGGATCATGGGGTACTGGGGGGGCCGGAAGACGTCGCCATGCACCAGCTTCCACCCAGACTCCTCCATGGTGTCTTCCTGTGGCAGAGAGGCAGAGAGTGACGCTGCGTCCACATTCCCAGATGAGGGAGGGCCCTGGGGCATGCAGATGCCAACCAGCCCTGCCTGGCACTGGGGCTGACTATCAAGGTATGCATGATCTTACACACGTTGGGGGGGAGGGGGAGGGCGGGATGAGAAGAAACTCCTCAGTATGTGGTCAAGTTTCACATCAATGGAGAGCAGTAAATAGCAGAGGAGAAAAAAACATTGAATGCAGAAAGACAGGGGTTGGGGCTGCAACTCTGACAGAGCGTAAACTGCAGGTACAAGGCAACAAGGCGCCAGCTGGGGCCCCAGAGTGGAGAAGGGGAGGACAGAACCCTGAAAGACGGAACACAGCTTCACCCTGCCTTCTGGTCCTTGACAAATGTATGTGACACATGAAGCTGGGCTCAGCCTGTATTCTACTGTGATTTTGTTATTTTCTGTTTAAGTCTAATCAATGCATCCACGGGTTCAAGGCCTAGGCTGGGCAATGTTGTGCCACACAGACTGAGTACTGTGGGGGAACCGCGGCCACACCCGATCCAGTTGATTTGAGTGAGAAGTGAAGCAGCAATGAATATTTCTAGAGCAAGTCTGTACTTTGATGCTTCTCGTAAGGACAATTCTAGAATCACTGGGTCAAAGCAAGGTGACAATCTTAGAATCCTTGTCCATGTCTCCTGTGCAGCTGGCATGGGAAGGCGACTCTCCCATGTGATGCTAATCAAGAACGCTATTCACACACACGTGGAAACATGCATGCATCTATGCCATCTGATGCTTTGCTCATGACCGTCTCCTCGTGATGGTCTGAATCTGTGAGCCACTGTCACTGCTGAGGGAACAGCTTCCCACATGCCTAACAAGCATGCGAGCTACTAATCTTTCTTTTTTTTGCTTTTTGGGTCACACCCGGCGATGCACAGGGGTTACTCCTGGCTCATGCACTCAGGAATTGCTCCTGGCAGTGCTCGGAGGACCATGTGGGATGCTGGGAATCGAACTCGGGTCAGCTGCGTGCAAGGCAAACACCCTCCAGTCCCCAGGTTTCTTTCTTGTTTCAACTGTATCATCTTCTTCTAAGTGTGTGGCAAATACTGCTTCTCCTCATCATAGTTTTGTTTCTTTCATGTATTCTGACATGTACAGCAGTTAAAAGGTTTTTATATTTTGTTTTGTGGGTCACATGCAGTGAGGAAGTGCTCAGGGGACCACGTGAGCAGGAGAGACAACCTCAGTGCAGCATGCGCTCCAGGCCTCTACGCCACCTCTGGGCCCCATTAAAATAGGATCCCCGCCCCCCGGTACTCAGGGGGTACAGGGGCCGCTCCTGGTGATGCTTGGTCACCTGGGTCAGCAGTTCAACGTGAGGGGCTGAGGGTACTGTTGCTCAGGTGTGTGATGCTGGGGACCACCTGGGCTACCCTGGCAGAGCTGGCACTGCTCGGGGGCCTCCAAAGTCATGCCCAGCGGTGCTTAGGGAGTGCTGGGGTGCCGAGGATCAAATCATGGCAGATTCCATCTTAATTCCTGCAGTATCTCTCTAGAACTCCCCCATTACATTTTCTTACGTGTCCAAGGAATCAAGTCTCCTTTCCATAATTTCTTCTATTACTTCTATACTTAGAATTAGAATCTTACCTCTACCACTTTGTTCATTTAAAATTCTTTTTAGACCTCACCTGGTGGTGCTCAGGGCTGTCTCCTGGCTCTGCGCTCAGGAATCACTCCTGGTGACGTGCAGGGAACCAAATGGGGTGCCAGGATCGACCCCAGGTCAGCCAGGTGCAAGGCAAGTGCCCTACCCACGGTACAATATAGCTCTGGCCTCAGATATGTGTGTATTTAATAGGAACCTCCTCAGGGATGCTGGGGTCAGGGTTCCCTCCTGGCAATGCTTGGCCAGGCGGTACAGGCCAGCTGGCCTGGCAGTATGGGGCTGCCCAGGCTGCAGGCGCTGGGGGCTACACTCCACCCAGCCCCCTTTCTCATCTGCGTCAAAGACCGCATCCCCTTCCCACCCACATCGGGTAGGTCACCCAGACGTACAATGTCATCCTCCTTGTTGTAGTTGGCGATGTCCTTCCTCAGGGTACGAATGATGATCATGCTGAGGATGCCTGCGGGGACAAGGTGCGGGAGTCCTTATGCGGTGGTCCTCCAGCGCTCTGCAGCCTTCTTCCAGTGTCTCAACCCCTCCCTCGGGGCAGCAGTCACAGCACACCCGACTCCAAGCAGCCTGTGGGCTCAGCCCAGCCCAGCCCAGCCTGCCCAGGCCTCACTCTGCCCCGTCCTCCTGGAGAGGTACCGCCTTTACTGTTTCACAGATCCCTCTCACTCCTCCTTTCCTTTACTCTGGCTGTCTCCTCTGTGTGGAGGGTCTCACGGCCCCCAAACTCCTTCCTCTCGCTTCGAGACCTCCCCAAGGCAGCTAAATGTTCAAGGGGTCCCACATGGACTGTCAGAGAATGCAGTTTCACTGGTCATATGACCTCAAGCCAATTTAACATTTCCAGGCTTAACTCATGGGACTTCAGGGACTGAGATGTTTGTGAGGTGCTTGTCAGCGCAGCAGCTGACCCCTGGGGGGGTCTTTTGTGTGTAGACCACACCAGGCAGAACCACAGGGCCACTCCCAGCTCTGTGATCAGGGGCTGTTCCTGGCAGTGCTCAGGGGACCAGGTGGTACTAGGATTGAACCCAGGCCACCTGCATGCCAAGCATGTACTCAGGCATGAAGTATGCTCTCTCTCTCTATCTCTCTCTCTAAATATATATATATATATATATATATATATATATATATATATAAATAAATAAAGGTAAAGGTCCTCCCGTTGTTCATCGATTTGCTCGAGCGGGCCCAGTAACGTCTCCATTGGAGATTTTGTTGTTACTGTGTTTGGCATATCAAATACATCACGGGTGGCTTGCTTGCCAGGCTCTGCCGTGCGGGCGAGATACTCTCGGTAGCTTGCCGGGCTCTCCGAGAGGGGCGGAGGAATCGAACTCGGGTTGGCCATGTTGGCTGCTTGCAAGGCAAACGCCCTACTGCTGTGCTATATACACACGTGCATATGTGTGTACACACACACACACACACACACACACACACACACACACACACACACACACACACACACACTCTTTGAGCCACACCTGGGGTTCTCAGGGGATCATATGGGGTGCCAGGGATCAAAGGGGGTCAGATGCGTGCAAGGCAATTGTCCTACTCCATCCCCAATCCCCCGTGAATGTTTACTCTCCAACAGCTAGAATTGCCAATATATTTCATTTGATATTAAATTGATCTACCTTCCACTTTCGTCGGCCCGCCTCCTCTCTTGCCACCTCTGGCCACCCAGCTTCTCGCCTGGGTGTCCCCCTGCAAGGCCATGAGTTTCACCGGAGCTGGAGCTGGGCCCTGAGGGGCGGCGCCTCTTCACACAGGCCTTTCCTAACACAGGTGGCCCCTTTCCCCCTCAGCCCCTGCCTCGAAGGGGCTCCCTATCTGTGTGCCCCACAGCACTTATCGCTACTGCAGCTCCACCCTGAGTGCGCTGGCCGACTCTCCCTCCACCTGAATAGAGGCGGTGTGGGGCAGAGGCCAGGGTGGGGCGCCCAGCAGTCTCCATCCAGCAGGGTGCCTGTCCCTGAACAGAAGGAGCCAGGGGCTTGGTGCCTGAGCCAGGGTGTGTGTGCATGAGGAGAGGCCCTCTTCGCCCAAGGGAGCAAATGCTGGGGTGGAGTCTCAGCATTTTTCACCAATGTGCACCCAAACTCCAACGCAGAGTCCTGCTGCTGTTTGCTGACCCAGCTCTGCGCACAGAGCATGCTCAGAAGTTCTAGAATACTCTAGAAGTTCTCTCTGACAGATATACTGACACAGCCCTCCTCGGCCCCTGGCTTCTCCGCGGCCCAACTCACAGGTCTCTCACCTGACAGGAAGAAGACCACCACGACAGAGTTAATGATAGAGAACCAGTGGATCTGCACGTCGCTCATGGTCAGGTAGGTGTCCCAGCGAGAGGCCCACTTGATGTCGCTTTCCTGGGGGGCACAGAGGGAGCGCGTAAGAGCCAGGACTCCCAGGGGTGTTCTTGTCATCGCTGTTGTCAGCATGGGGCCAGTTCCCATGATGCCTGAGCAGCGTGCAGGGGACCATGCAGTGCCAAGGATCAAATTCACCTGAGTCACAGCCTGGGCCCCCCAATTTTTTTGGTTTTGGGGCTACACTTAGGGTGCTGGGGGTTGCTTCCAGTGGTGCCAGGGATCAAACTGGTATGCAATGCAAATGCCTTACCCCCTGGACCATCTTTCTGGCTCCCCTAAGATGACAGTTTTTCCCCACACCAGAACCATCCCCCTGCTGTGGGCGCCAGGCCTGCTCACCTCCCAGTGTACGGAGTAGGTGAAGTACAGCTGGTTCTCCTTGTTTGGGTCAATTTCTTGGGGTGAGGAGTTGGTGCCCTCGGGCAGGGTACATGACTTCTTCTCGCCTGTTTTGAGGTCTGTGAGAGACAGAGACTCAGTCTGTTCCTGTGGGGGGTCAGCGCCACAGACCAGGGCTGCTGGTAGTTAGGGTGGGGGTTGAGGCGGGGGTGGGGGCAGGCTAGAAGCTGCTTCTGAGCTGCTGAGAGCAGTGGGGGTTGGGAGGGCAACTGCAACAATGTCCTTCAACTGTGCCCCCAGAGCCGTGCCCTTCCAAAGCGCCCGGTGGGCTGCAGAGCATGGGTTCAGAGGTGGGGATCGGTCTCATTTAGTCAGTCTCCCTTCACTTCACGGAAGTAGTCACTCATTTAATCAACCTCACTCGCTCGGCCAGGCTTCCCCAACTCACTTCACCCACCAAGTTCAGGCACTGTAGCGATTCCCTCAGCTATTTCCTTCACATACTCATCTGTTCGTCCTCCTCTCTCCCCATTTGTTCAACCAATGAGCATAAAGCCAGTGCCTGCGGTGCGGGAAATAACATGGCACGCAAAAGAGACCATCTCTGACCTCGATAAGCTGGGGGCGGCTGGGGGTGAGGGGACGCAGACGATGTCAGGGACTTGATGGAAGCACATGTGACTGTGCTCACAGGAGAGACGGTTTGTGCTTTTCCTCTCTGCCTTACATGAGACAGCCGAGAAAAGAAACAGAAGGCCAGAAACCCCACACCGCTGTGGACAAGAGCGCTGGGCTTGCTATGCCAATGCCCGCCCTGCAGTGCGGGAAGGCTGGTGGGACAAGGGGGAACCGTAGGCAGGGCTGGGCCAGGCTCCCGGAGCCCCAATCACTGTGACCCCAAGCCCCTTCTAGTCTGTGTCGATGACTCCCACAGATGAAGAGAGACACTGAAGGCCACTGTCCTGGAGCTCTGCCTACACCCTTGCTCTCATCTTACCCCAAGGGAGCCGGCTGGTTCTCAGGAAGAGGCCCAGCCAAGCCCCTGGCTGCTTCACTAGAGAGGATCACAGCACACACCCGGGAGCTGCCAGCAGGTGGTAAACCGATAAGGCGCTCAGGCCAGGGCGTGACATATGTCTGCTGTCTCCTCACCCCCCACCTTCTCCGAAGGGAAGGCGGAGACCCTACCCTGACCGGTCCTGCGGGCCCCCAGCCATGCCAGGACTCGAGTGGGAGAAGATGCTGGTGTGGAACCCCAGGCCCCTCCAGCCCTGCCCCTCTGCTCATACCTCCCCACTCACCCTCCAGCCTGATGCTCTGGGGAATCACCTCGAAGCGGACGACGCGGTACGTGTGCTCCTGGTCCTCTTCCAGGTCCTCTCGGTGGTAGTAGAGAATGAACGAGAGGTGATTGTGCAGGTAGATCTAAAACAGAGCAAGGGAGGGCACGTGAGAGCTGGGGCCAAGAAACCACCAGGAAAGTCCCCCAGGCACTGGGGGCCTCCTCTTGCCAGCTGTCACAGCCCCCTACAAGCCACCGCTTCATAACCTCCCTGATCAGAAACCCTCTCGGACACCCTGAAGCTTATGAGGAAAACCCCCGGCCTCCTCCAGGGCCCTCTAGAATCTGTCCCTAAAGCCCCCATCATCATCAGCTTCTTGGCTACATCTGCTCGCCAGGTGGCCTGGTGCTCTCCTCACTGCCTAAACGATGCCCGCACTGCTGCTCTGATCACAGCACTCGCTCCCCCTACTCTCCCCTGCACACCGAGCTACTTCCCAGCTCCACCTTCTCGGCGACAACCGCAGAGATACACGGGACTCCCTTGGAGTCCAGTGTCAAGTCCTCTGCCACAGACCAGCACAGTCTGTTAGATCAGGGAACAGACTTGAGACCCAGGGTCTTACACTGTCACTTCTCTTTCCAAGTAGGAAATGCTTTTTTGAGAACAGAGATTGTGCTTCAAAATAAATATTTTTGGGGCTGGAGCGATAGTATAGCGGGTAGGGGGTTTGCCTTCCACGCGGCCGACCCGGGTTCGATTCCCAGCATCCCATATGGTCCCCCGAGCACCGCCAGGAGTGATTCCTAAGTGCAGAACCAGGAGTAACCCCTGTGCATCACCGGGTGTGACCCAAAAAGAAAAAATAAACTGGAGATAGATTAGACTAAAAATAAATAAATATTTTTGTGTTTCACTCCCTGAGTATCAAAGGCTTGTATCAGAGCATCAGGACCTTAGGAGAATCACGGTGAAGATCATTGCTGCCAATGGCCGAGGAGACAGTTCAAGGGCTGGGGCCATGCAAGGCATGCGCCTGACTCAGGTTCGAGCCCCAGACCTCTGCAGGGCCCAGCACTTGAACCACTAGCCTGGCTAGTCAAGGTCTCCGGGAGTGGCTCTCCAACTCCCCGAGCACCTCACAGAAGGGCCTCTCCCCCACAAAAGAGCTCAATGTCACTGTCAGTATGTTTCTCAGAGTCTGTGCTCTGAGGTGCTCAGACAGATGGTCTGACGCGGCTGCTGAACAGCCCCAGAGGAGGCTGGTTTTTACAGATATCTGACGGAAGGCAGCAAAGGCTGAAAGAGCGGAAGCACACAGCTCACAGTCACTCAACGAGGCATTGGAAGAACCAGGCCTGGGCTGGGCTCAGCAGTGACGGTGCGTGAGGCCCTGAATGCAGAGCCAGGACAGCAAAACAATTGATCCAAAAAAAAAAAAAAGGGGGGGTGAGGTTCTAAAGACACAAGGAGACGACTGCTCAGCTCACCCTCTGACAGCCTCACGGACTCCCGAGACGCCAGAGGTTTTGATGGCGGCGGTGGTGGCTGTGTATGTGTTTTCCTCTATATCAAGTGGTGTTTAGAGGCTACTCCCGGCTCTGTGCTTGGGGGACCCTCCTGGAGAAGCTCCAGAGATGCAATCGGAGCCGGCCGCATGCAAGGCAAGTGCTGTCTCTCTGGCTCCTGAACCCTGACTTCTTAGGTACTGCGTGTCCCACCTGCTGCCCGGCATCTATCGGAGTCTGGACCAGGGGCCCTGGGCCTTTGGCAGGGCAGAGCCAGCGCACAGGGAGCAAGTGCCTCATCTCCCCTACCTGAGCCCAGGGCACAGTGCTTCCCTCTCTCCTGCAGCCCAGAACACTCATAATTTGGGGGTGCAGCTCCCCCGAGCCCACCAGGCACCAGAGACACTCTACCTTGTTGACATCCATGAAGCCCAGCCGGTAGCCGTGTTCAAACTGCACGTCTTTCTCCTTCTTCCGGTCATCTCCCTCGCGGTTGGAGTAGAGCTCCAGCCGGGTGGCCACGGGGAGATTATCGGCGATGCTGGAAACCCAAGGCCCCACTCAGTCCCTCGGGGTTTCCACTCCCAGCAGGGCCCGCCCCTACGCGGACACCGGGCTGCAGGGAGCACAGGACAACTTACAGGTGCACATAATAGTCCTCTGTGATCCGCTCGGCCACCAGCCGGCTCTGCTCCACGCTCAGGGTCACTGGCTTGGACTCGCCGCACAGCACCTCACACTTCTTCTCGCTGTTCATGAGAACCTGGAAAGGGGTGTTGACAATCCGGTCCCCTCTCAGCACCTCTCCTGCCGTAAGAGAGACAGATGGAGCTCAGAGCTTCAGCCCCGAGGTTGCTGAGATCAGCAGAGCCAAGAAGACACAGGATGGACCCCTCACCGTGGGGGCCGCCTGATGGCACTGTGAACTGACTCGCAGTGACCCTGGCCTCCCTGCCCGTTTACCCGGCCCACTCCCGCCTGCCGACCTCTCCTCCCCGCGTGAGCAGTGCGGACTCTGCAGCCTACAGACAGACCGCACCAGCTACCCCCAGGCCTCCGGCTGCTGCTTTCACCTGAGCTGCCGGGCCCTGCTCCACGCCCCGGGAAACTGTGACTCACTCTCTGAGCTCAGCTTCTATGGGTCATGGCCTTCCCTGACCTCTTCATGACAGAGTTCTGTGCTCCCTCCTCTGGGCCTCTGAGGCAGAAGCAGCAGCCTGCACAGACCCTGCTCTGCCCTCTCCTAGCCCAGCAGTCGTGGAAAGGCATTGTAGCCTCACTGAGCCTCAGTCTGCTTCTCTGTCATGCGAGGACCATCGGTGCACTGAGGGCTGGGCTGGGCCGCGCTTCCCATCTGGGAGCATTAGGGTCCACCCCAGTGCCGCTGCGTGTCTGCTCACAGGGCTAGGGAAGGAGCAGTCGCAGGGGGGCAGGTAGCAAACAATATTTCTGCCACCGGCATCGCTGCTGTGTCTTTCCTTGTCCGTAGGGGAGTTAGGCGGAGAAATGCCCAGCCGTGCTCAGGGGCCCGTAATTGGTGCCAGGGAACCAAACCCCGCTGGCCACAGGCAGGTCAAGCGCCCTAGCCCTGTGCTCGCTCCCCAGTGGCCCCCTGCACCCCTTCGTACCAGTGACACGACTCTGAGCACTGGACTGCCCTGTTAAGTACCTGTCGCCTCCACCTGTCTGGGGGTTCTGGAAAGGCAGACAGTGTTGCCTGCTTATCCCTGTGTCTTCAGGTTCTGGGTCAGGCAGGCAGGGAGGTGGGGTAAAATCCAGCCCCTGAGAATTTTAGCTAAGGCAGTTTTTGTACTTAATGAATGTTAAGTACAAACGGGAAAAGGCAGCAAGCAAGAAGCATGCCCCTCCTCTGCCCGCTGCCCGGAGGCACATGCTGCCACAAGTCACGCTGACTGGACCTGAGAAGTTAGCAACTGTCCATCAGGCCCAATGGCGCTCTCACACTAAGCTGTCCCAGCGAGCTTGAGGTGACGTGGAACTGGCAGACGAGCCAATAGGCAGGACTGACGCCTTCACAACATGCCCACCTGAGTGAAACACGGGCTCGACCCTGCGTTTGTTCATTCCCCAAACGAGCCCTTGGCATGTGCTGGGAACTGGCTGTGAGCAAGGCTGACAGACGCCGTCTGGAACCTCTCAGCCTAGGGGGAGGACAGCCTGAGCACCCAGGAGAAGGAGCATTATCGTATCACAGGAGGAACTTGCTCAAGACATGGGTGAGCAGGTCTAGAAACTTCTCTGAGAAAGTGACCCTTGCAGTGAGTTCTGAGAGAAGACAGTGACAGAAGATACCGAGAAGAACACACTAGATGGGAGAAACATTATGGAAAGGTGCCTGGAGGCTGGGGCCAGGCCGGTGATGCTTCAAGGCTTGTGAGGTTGCAATGCAGAGAAGGGCTTCAGGTGAGCTGGAGCTGGACTGCAACGGGTCTCTAGGACACACTGGACATCTGGAATTTATCCAGCCAGCAATAGAAGCCAACAATGGCCTTTTAATAGGCAGAGAGGGACGGCACCATCTGATTCTGGCTACAGAAGATCACTCTGGCTGTCTCGTGAAGGGAACAAGAATGCCTGGGGCAGAGAGCGGTGGTGGCAAGGATCAGGGCGCCTGGAGTGTGTGGCGGGGGCAGACACAGCGCACCGATCCAGGAGCTACTGAAGAGGTGAACCCCAGGGAGCCTGGTGCTGATTGATACAGGCAGCAGAGACGAGAGGTGCCCATAGGCGCGCTCTGTCGTTTCTACCAGCAGATTCTAGGTGGAAAAATAGGAAGAATGGCCTATTCAGATGAAAGAAATTTTTTTCTGCACTCAGGAATAACTTCTGGCAGTGCAGGGGGACCAGATGGGGTGCCAGGAATCAAACCCGGGTCAGTGGTATGCAAGGCCGATGGTATGCAAGGTAAACACCCTAACCACTGTGTTATCATCTCTCCGGTGCCAATGGAAGAATCATTTTAAGGTTCTGCGGTGAGGTCAGGGCCATGGATGGATGCTTTCATTGTGGCTTACAGTAGTAAATGCAGATGAGTTTCAGAGGAGAGGGCGAAGCAGAGGCAGGCTTGAAGAGGACTTACGTGAGGGCCTCATCCTCCTTTGCCCACCAGTGAGGGTGCAGTAACCAGGGAGCTTGCTGGTGGAGCACAAGGCCACAGAGCTGACCTATGCACAGCAAGGCCGCTGATGAAGGGCAGAGGCCATCTCTGTCCTGATGGCCATGCCCAGGGATACACAGGGATGGTGACTTGTCCTCCACCATCCGTGGAACGCTTTTCCTCTACACCAGGCCCTACTCACTCAGCAACAGAAGAACAGCCGGGGAGAGAGAGGAACAGTGCTGCAGACCAGGCCAGGGGGGTACCACTTTTTGGTACGCAGACATGACTCATGAAACCAAGAGGACATTCTGGTCTGGAGCAGCCCACTCTAACCTGGGAGTACTCCTTTTTAATTTTTACAGCCAGAGCAGAACACCGGCTACACTAAATGGGAGACGAGCTAGGGCTAAGCCCTCTGGGGAGCCTGGGGTGCTTGAGTACCCCAGTGGCAGAAGTCCCAACACACACCTCTGAGAGTCTCCATCAATGAGCACAGTCTAAGACAGGCCTCAGCGGTCAGCCTGGAAGTTGCAGCTGGGACAACAGCAAGAACCTAGCTGGAGAGTTTCAACACCTGGCCTAACACCTCAAGTTTTCTACATACCAGCCCCAGGAACCCAACCAAGTCTTTCAAACCTGTGTAGCTACAGTTTTTTTTCTCTCTGAACAGGAGCCAGAGTTAACATGTAGCTTACAAAGTTACTCAAGAATCAATCAAGTGCTGCTAGAGCAACAGGACAGCAGGCAGGCATCTGCCTTGTGCACAGGGTTCGATTGAACCTGGGTTCAATCCCCAGCATCGCATATGGTCCCCGGAGCACAGCCAGGAATGATTCCAGTGTGCATGAGTAAACCCTGAACTTCACTGGGCGTGGGTCAAAAACATTAACAACAAAAAATCGATCAAGAGAGTGCGTGGAGTACAGTGCTTCCGGTATGAACACTGGAGCCAGAGTTCCTGGAATGAGTGGCCTAGAGCAAGTGATTCACCCCTGTCTGCTCACTTCTCTCATGCATGGTGAGGGGACAGGAAGAGATCTGCCTCAGGGGGCTGTTGTGAGAATGAACGAAGGTAAAGCACAGAAGACTTAGAGCAACACGCTGCTCAATATAACTGAAACCCAAGCACAAAAATTTGTAAGTCTACAACTGTACCTCATGGTGTCTCACTAATTAAAAGAAAAAAAAAAAGAACAGGAGAGTCCCACAGGGACTAATGTTGAGGAAGACGACAGTTAAGAGGGCAAGGAGTACAGTCCAGGAGCCACTCAAGCCCAGATATTCCTGCTCCTCAGACTGGATGTGGACACTGACTGAATCCAACAGAAATGTGTAGGCACTGGGTCGGAAGCAGGGAGCTTAGAAAGGAGGCACCATGCGAAGGCACAAGGAGCCCACGCGGCAGGGAACGTTCGTGCACAGAAGTCTCATTTATACCAGGGAGTTATGCGCCAGCTTCACAGTAGATGTAGTGGACGCTGGAGAAGGCAAGCCAGCCAGGACCACACTGCGGCTGGCCTGACCGTGAGCTCTGGGGGACCAGGGAATTCACAACTGCACACAGGGGAAAGGCGTGTGTGAGGGCCCTGTCCCAGGAGCCTGGAGGAGCATGTGGATCAGGCAGAGGCAAGGAGGCGGGAGCACGGCGTGGTAAAGAGAGAAAGGAAGGTTCCAGGGCGGCGTGCAAGTCAGCAGAAAGCGCTGAAACCACTCGGGTAAGAGTACCAGGTGACACGGGCCCGGCGGTACTGCCCTCTATTACTGGTGAAACTGGCTTCCAGGCCAATGCCTAGGGTAAATCTAGTGTTCTCTAGGGCTTCAAGACCTGAGCAGAGAAGGCAGTTCAGCTCCTGCTCAAGAACCAGATCTCCACTTTCTCCTGCCTGGACGGAGGGGCTCCGAGGAAAGAGGGAAGTCTCTTCCGCTCCTGCGCTCTGGGAGAGCGTCCTCCTGGGTAGTCTGTCCCTGGGAATCAACACAGATAGGCACAGAAGCACGAATGACCGTGTCCCCAACAGACGCCTCCAAATGGCTCTTTTGTGTAAGCTTCACATTCTGCCAAATGGAGAATTACATAAATGAGACTAAAGTGGCTACTATTTATGGAGCACCGTGCCAGACACTGCGCCGGGTGCTTCACACGCTATCGGAGGCGAGCCTTGCAGAGCTGAGCCAGAACTCGGTTGACTAGAGCTCTCAGAAGAGCTCTGCTTCTGTCAGGGGCTGGAGCTCATCACTTGCCCTTTCAGTAAAAAGCAGAGCAGGCTGCAGCGTGAGAAGGTGGTTATCTAAAAATCAAGGGCAAGCCAGTCTGGACAACAGCCAAGGGTTACAAACGCCAAAGCCCCGTGAGCTCCAAGTCCAGCTTACCCGTTCATGAACGGCAAGAGCAGAGGCCAGTCACTTCACGTGTAAAATGGGAACAAAGCCAGCACAGCTTCCGGAGGGTTGTTTGAGGATTAGTCATGTCATTATGTACAGAAACTCGGTAGAACAGTATACGGACATAGACTGATAGGGTCAGCAGCTGCAATTATCATGAAAAGAGCTGGACTTCCCTGAGGAAAAGGATGACAGAATTGTGAGAAAAGAACTTACCCAGATTCTCTGCCTTGTAGGTGATTTTTTTTGGAGCACAGAAGGGCAGTGAGTAGTATTCATAAGGTAGCTGGGTTCGAGAGCTGGTGAGTTTCACAGCCTAGTGGGGAAAGAGGGTAATTAAGCCAGAAACTTAAGACGATTATTTCAACAATCGTCCCTGATACCCTCCATCTTTAGAATACTCTGCAATATTATCTGATCGACACTCTAACCAGAGATCTTGTTTAATATCACAACTAGTTTCAGTCTTTCTACAAGGTGCTATCCTTCGACTCAAGACTATCATTTATAAATGCACCCTTTCTGGGCCAGAGAGGCAGTACAGCAGGTAAGGCACTTGCTCTGCATGGAGCTGACCCAGGTTCAATTTCCAGTACCACATATGGTCCCTGGAACCCTGCCAGGAGTGGTCCCTGAGCAAAGAGCCAGGAATACGTTCTGAGCACCACCAGGTGTGATTCCAAAACAAAAGCAAATTCACGCACACTTTCTAGAACATTAACTCCGGACTGGAGCAATAGTACTGCAGGTAGAGTGTTTGCCTTGCACCCAGCTGACCCGGGTTCGATTCTCAGCATTCCATATGTTCCCCCGAGCACTGCCAGGAGTAATTCCTGAGTGCAAAGCCAGGAGTAACTCCTAGGCATCGTCGGATATGACCCAAAAAGCAAAAACAAAATAAAATAAAACATAACTCTGGGTGCCCGGGAATAATGCTGCAATCGAGTGCCTTCATTCCAAGCCTGAGGCCAGGGAGACCAAGAGTCTGGTGCTGACCCTTTCCCACAGGCCCCGTGTGATCCCAGTGGCTCTGCTGTTTAGGTTCTCCTGTGGAGTACAATTGGAAGCAAGCAAGCATCAACAAGCTGGCAAACATGGCAAGAAAAGGGTTTCTGTGAGCAATGTCACAAAAGTATGTGATCCTTAAAAAAAAAAATCAACAGAAAAGGGAAGGGAAAAATTTAATCCCCAAAACCATACAGTGAGCTGTGGCTGGGCTCAAGCAATGGGATGTGAGGTCCTGGGTTCTCGGCTGGCACGGAGCACAGCAGGGGTGTGTGAAAGTAGACAGCACGGGTCGCACGGGAGAGAAGAACTCCAACTGAGGCAGAAACGATCACGATCACAACCATCCTGTTGTTCGTCGATTGACTCGAGCAGGCCCCAGTAACGTCTCTTTCGTTCTAGCCCTGAGATTTTTTAAGAAGTGCCATATTAAAAGCTCTTCCAGGGTTAGGAGAATGAGACCTATCATTGTTACTGGTATTTGGCATATTGGGTACGCCACGGGGGGTTTGCCAGACTCTGCCGTGAGGGCAGGTTACATTCGGTAGCCTGCCATTTTGTCCAAAGTAAGAATGAGATAATAAGAGGCAGAAACAGTGGGAGCTAAGAGGCTCTCTTCTACTTGTAACTGGCATGGGGCATTCCAATTCATGCCTTCGCACATTCGGTTTTCAGCATGAGGTCAGCACCATCTCCTCTACAGGAACTCCCCCTGTTCAACATGTCCCATGTCCACACAACATGTCTGATAAAGTCCACATGAAATGTGAAGGATTACTTTAAAAAAATTGGGGGCTTTTTTTGTTTGTTTTTGGGCCATATCCAGTGGTTCTCAGGGATCACTCCTGGCCTGGAGGACCATATGGGGCGAGGGGGATCAAATCTGGGTCATACGTATGCAAGGCAAATGCCCTGTCTATTGTACTATCTCTTTGGTCCTTTTATTTAAAAAAAAATTTATTTTGTTTGAAAGGGCCACACCCAGAGGTGGTCAGGGCTTACTCCTGGTTCTGTGCTCCAGGATCACTCCTGGTGGGGCTTGGGAGACTACATGGGGGACCAGGGATGGAGACCAGGTCAGCTGTGTGCAAGGCAAGCATCTTACCTGCTGGACTATCCCTCTGGCCTGGTTATTGTAAATTTGCCTCTCCACTGGCACATAAACCCCCATGTGTGTCTGTGCACTGCCAGAACAACGGTGTATGTAGAGGCAGGCACAGAGTAGGTGCTCATGAAATGCTTGCTGAATTACAGAAGAGGAAAGATAGAAAACTAAAAGTTCCACAAGGGGAAATTGGTCAATAAACCACAATGTTTATTCATCTAAATATTATGCAATCATTGAAAATGAGGCTTAAACCCAAAAGGAGAGAGAGAATAAAAGGGAATGCCCTGCCACAGGGGTGGGGTGGGGTGGGATGGGGGGGTGGGAGGGATGCTGGGAGCATTGGAGGTGGGGAATGGGCACTGGTGGAGGGATGGGTATTTAATCATTGTATAACTGAAACCCAAGGACAAAAATTTGTAAGTCTACAACTGTACCTCATGGTGTTTCACTAATAAAAAAAAAAATGAGGCTTAAGATGGCCTTAACAGAGAATGTTTAGGAAATGATGCAAGCAAATGGAAGAGTGTGGAAACAGTCGTTCAAACAACTCCAAAACCACACATAAAAGAAAATCAATTTGTAGCAAAAGTTTTTCCCCATCTAAATCTAGGAAAATTATCTTTGCTTAACTATCAACCATTCCTGTTCTAAAACCATTCTATCAAACATTCTAAAACTGTGGTTTTAGAAACGAGGGCCACAATCTTTATTTAAAAGCCTTGCTTTGGAATCAGGTTTTGTTTTCTTTTTGGGTCACACCCAGTGATGCTCAGGGATTACTCCTGGCTCTACAAGAATCACTCCTGGTGGTGCTTGGGGGATCATATGGGATGCAGGGGATCGAACCCTGATCAGTCACGCACAAGGTAAATGCCCTACCCGCTATATTATCGGCCTCAAGGAGGCAGGCATTCTGAAACTACAAAATGGTGATGTGATATGCCAGACTAGGGGTTTTCTAACCTGTCCTGCAGAGTGTCTGGAACAGTGCTCGAAACTGGAGTACTGGACAGGAAATGTGAACATATTCCTACCAGTGGCAAGGAGAAAGTCAGTCAGTCCATGTAAATTCAGCTCAGGCCTTGCCAATGATGAGCTTAGAAAAACCTTGGGTTGCAGTTTGTTAGACAGGATTAAGGGAATCCTAAACTCTGTTAAGTGTTTCATAAATAGCTTCAGGCAAAATGGCCAAAAATTTACTGACCACTGTAACAGTATTGTTTCATGGTTCTTAGCTTTCTTTCTGGACAGTGAAACAATCCACATTACAAGAAGTCAAAAAAGCTTCATGTTCCCTGCCATCTTCTCTTCTCATGTGGGATGTCTGCTTTGCAGACCCCCAGTCTGAATGGCCTGTGAGCAGGAGCACCCCCTGTGCCTCTATACCACAAGATTTGCTCTGAAGGGACACGTGGCAGAGTATGAGGAAGAGGACGGCAGTGGTTAAAAGACAGGGATGTGGGCTGGAGAGAGTACAGGGGTGAGAGAGCTTGCCTGCACGTGGCCAACGCAGTTCAATTCCTGGACCTCAAATGTTCCCCAAGTACCTCCGGGAGTGATCCATGAGCGCAGTCAGGAGCAAGCCTTGACTGCCAGGTGCACCCCCTCCACTTCCACCCCCCCCCAAAAAAAAATAGACAGGGTTTTAAAGCAGAGTCCTCCAAACTGAGTTGGCTTGCTGCTCCTTTTCAGAAAAATATCACTCAGCACCTCATGGAAATCTAACCTTTTTGTTTTTGTTCAGGCAGTGCTGGGATTTGAATGTACATGGCCAGAGCTGGTTACTAGACAAGTGCCTTGACCTTTGAACTATTTATCTGGCCCACTGCACCTGAGGCTAGTAAAACCCTCCCCAGTCTCCCACAGTTCTAGCACCTCCCCTCCCCTGGTCTCTCACCCACTCGGGGAAAACACTGCTCTAAACCAGTCTTTCATCCTTCTCACCACGTGATCGAGACAGAGAGTGGGTTCACTCCCCTGATTCCTTGACTTTCCCTGTAATATGTACAGCAAACCTGCAAATCAGACGGTGTGTGACAGGGAGTACCTGGGGGCGTGGGGGTGGAGGGAATCCTTGAGTCTCTCAGGCAAATATAACTAGGAAAAGGCCCCTAAATCACTGCAGGAAACTGCTGGGCAGACTCTGGATGCCGAGAAGCACACTATGCCAGCATTAGGAATGGCAGCACAGGTCTCAGTGTCGCCACTTTCCCGTACTCAGCCACACCGCCAGGCTCCACACCAGGGCCACTGGCAGAGAGCAGGGAAGGAGACAAAGAAGACCCTTGCCTGTTTACAGTCGGATTTGCAATGGGTTTTATTTTTTTTCCATTGGTGCATTTACATTTTTAACCTCTACACTGGCTATCCCTTTTAAGTACCAACTACAAGGATTAACTTCCAACAACACACACACACACACACACACACACAATCTTTTTGGTGGGAGGTGTGTGGTTAGGGCCACACCTAGCAGTGCTCAGTCAGGGCTTATTCCTGGCTCTGCACTCAGGGATCATTCCTAATGGGCTCAGGGGACCACAAGGGGTGCCACAGATTGAGCTTGGGTCAGCTGTGTGCAAGACAAGTGCCCTATGCACTGGCCCTACCCCCTACAAAATTGTTACCACCAACCTCTAGCCCCTTTTGGAGCTCTGAGAATGTAAACAAGAGTTTATTGTTTTAGACATTAAATGGATGAAACAAAAATAAAGGGGGAGGGGGTGGCGGTGGCCTGGTCACACCTAGTGGTGCTAGGGCTTACTCTTGGTTCTGTGTTCAGGGATCACTCATGAAGGCTTAGGGAGACCCTATGCCATGTTGTGTGTTGCACTGGGGTTGGCTGTATGCAAGGCAAGCACCTCATCATCTGTATTCTCTCTGGCTTTGGATCAATCAAATTTTATACTGAACGATTCTGTCTGCCCTACCCTGCTATAACCGACTGACCCTCCCTCCAGGCAGGAAATGAGCCTGAAAAGGGGAAGTAGATTAGTTGGACTGTTTCTTCTGGACACTTGTTTAAGGCACTGCTCCCCAAATCCCAATCATTCAAGTACCTACCAATCCTGTTACTTACTGCAACACTTACTTGCATCTGACTCATTTTTAGGGAAATACATCTACTGACTTATTTTTAGGTAAATATATTTATAAAAAAGCAAATAGCACATTTCTATTAGAAGTGGAAAACCAGTGCCAGGGAAGTTATTTAAATGGTAGAAGATGGGCCTTGCATGTACAAAGGTCTGACACCTCTGGGTATGACTTCTCCCTGAAAAGGTAAAATGAACAACAACCATGAAATCACCAGCCAAAGAACTCACTACATTTTTTTTTTTTAAATATGGAACGCTTCACAAATTTGCAAGTCATCCTTGCGCAGGGGCCATGCTAATCTTCTCTGTATCGTTCCAATTTTAGTATATGTGCTGCCGAAGCAAGCACTCACTACATTTTTTACTATGCACTAAAATAACCATTAAGGTAAAATATATCTGTCAACCACTGAAATTCATCTTGTACAGCAGCACTGAGATGATGCCGAGAACCATTTGGAAATACTGAACTGGAGAATACTACTGGTGGCCAGAGCTAAAACTGAAAACTAGGACTGTGTACACAGATGTTCTATGTTGTGTTAGAGAAATCTGGTAACAGAGTGGAGGCTGAAAAAACAAACAGCAGAAACACCATCTTCACTCTTATGTCCATTGCAGCACTATTCACAATACCCAGAACCTGGAAACAACCTGAGTGCCTGAGAACAGACAGCTGGATAAACTATGGTACACCTGCACAGTCATGTGTAGAACACTATGCAGCTACCAGGAAAGAGGAAGTCATGAAATTTGCTTATATATGAATGGACATGGAGAGTATCATGTTAAATAAAATGTATAAGGGGGAGAGGGACAGATATAGAATGATAACACTCATTTGTGGGATATAAAAAGCACAGTATGAGGGGCTGGAGCAATAGCACAGCGGGGAGGGCGTTTGCCTTGTGCACGGCCGACCCAGGTTCGATTCCCAGCATCTCATATGGTCCCCCGAGCACCGCCAGGAGTGATTCCTGAGTGTAGAGCCAGGAGTAACCCCTGAGCATCGCCGGGTGTGACCCAAAAAGCGAAGAAAAAAAAAAGCACAGTATGAGACTATTACCCAAGGACAGGAGAAACGAAGGATAGGAGGACTGGTCCACAGTTAGAAGCTTGCCATAATTGGGGGGAGAGGGCAGTTAGGACAGACAAGGGACCACTGTGACAATGATAGTTCGAAATGATCCCTCTGGACAAGGACTGAATGCTGAAAGTGGGTAAAGAAATATACATGATAACCTTTCAGTATCTACTGCAAACCACATATATATATATATATATATATACACACACACATATATATACACACATATATTTATGAAGAGAGAGACAGAGAGACAGAGAGAACAGTGCCTGCTGTAAAGTAGACTGCGGGGGGGGGGGGCGTGGAAGGAGGGAAATGGGGGACATTGGTGGTGGGAAATGTAGGGAAGGATTTGGAACACACTGCATGATCAAAACCCAGTCATGAGCAACTTTATAAGTATCTCATGGTGGTTTGATAAAAAAAAAAAAGTCACTGTCACTGTCCTCCTGCTGTTCATTGATTTGCTTGAGTGGGCCCAGTAATGTCTCCATTGTGAAACCTGTTACTGTGTTTGGCATATCGAATAGTCATGGGTAGCTTGCCAGGCTTTGCCGCGTGGGCGAGATACTCTTGGTAGCTTGCCGGGCTCTCCGAGAGGGGTGGAGTAATCGAACCTGGGTTGGCCGCATGCAAGGCAAATGCCCTACCCGCTGTGCCATTGCTCCAGCCCAATAAAAAAGTAATTAAAAAAATCAAAATAATATAAAAAACAAAATAATAAAAACTAAAGTGGAGGCTGGAGCTAACAAAAGGAGGAAACAGATAGTTGGAAAGCGACAGAGACACAGAAAGGATGTGCAAGCCACACATGCATGCATGCCCGCACATGTGCACACACACACACAACACACATACATGCATACACACACACACACACACACACTTTTTACATGACATGAAGACAAAGTGAAACAGACAGAAATAATGAGCAAGGGAGACAGAGTCAAGGAGAGGGGTCTGACAGGACACTGGCGGCAGAGGCGCAGAGCTCCCGGAAGTGCAAGCTCCAGAGGACTCTCTCCTCCTGGCCTGCTCAGCAGAACGGGAAGGGGTCTTCACTCTTGGCCACCACAGGCAGGGTGTGACAAGCCGGCCGGGGATCCACTCACCTTGATTTCTACAGGGTCGTTCTGGTGGAAGTTGATGGGCGCAACCCCAGGGACATAGAAGGCGCTTGTTTCCCACATGAGAGAGAGCAGCAGGGACCACGGCAACCAATCCTGCAAGGACAGAGATGCTGCCGTCAGGACAGGGGACATCAGCAAACACCCTCCTCCAGCAGATCCAGATCATGTGGCCCCCACCTACACGTCTGCTTTAACAGCCCCTGCCCCGCCCCACTCTGCCCAGTCAGGTCCGTGTACATTGCAGCTTTGCAAACACACCTAGTGGTGTTATGTCGTAGTACTGATACTGCACATTCAGAACTGAGCCACCAAATGAGAAGAAAGGCAACTCCTGAATAAGTCAGAGGCTAAGGATGATGATCCTAGGCTGGAGCGACAGTACAGCGGAGAGGGCACTTGCCTCGCACGAGGCCAGCGCAGGTTCAATCTCCGGCATCCCATATGGTCCCCTAAGCCCCATTAGGAGTGATACCTGAATGAAGAACCAGGAGTAACTGCTGAGCATCAGTGGGTGTAGCCCACCAAATACCAAAAGAAAAAAATTTAAAAAACAAATGAAGTTGCTGAACCTGCACAGTTAAAAAATCTACATAAAACTTGAAGCTACTCCTGCCACACTGCTTGGGAGATGCTCCTGGTGGTGCTTGGGACCAGGAGGTAATGATGGTCAAACCTGGGTCTGCCACATGCAAAGCACACACACTAGTCCTTTGAGCTATCTTCCTGGTCCGACATGTGGCTTTTGACGCACCAAAACTAAAACTGCAATATCCTGCAGATCGGAAGTTTTACCTGTAACACAAACCTAATTGGCACATACACTTTATTTTTTTAAATTTTATTTTATAAGATAGTTCACAATATTTGATTACATTTAATATTCAAACACCAATCCCACCACCATTACACCTTCCCACCACCATATCTGGGATGTTTCCATTCCAAGCCCCAATCCCTGTCCCAAAACACAACAAAATAATATATTTTCTATTGTGATGAAAAACTGCTGCAAAAAAAGTATCCATAGAGGAAATAGTGTGAAGACTGTTCTATTTTGGCAGGGGCCATTAAGACCTTCTTTAGGATATCACAAACATGTTGTTAAAGGTTGAGTGATGTGAACTTTTGTGTATATATATATATATCTGAAAATATATATATATAGCATCACAATCACAAAAAATCACAAATCATCCTGTTAATCGTCGACTGCCTCAAGCAGGCCCCAGTAACATCTCCTTCATCCTAGCCCTGAGATTATATTCAAGGCTCTTCAGGAGAATGAGACCCATCATTGTTACTGGTATTTGGCATATATAGCATATAAATATAAAATTCCCTCCATGATTGGTTGCCTATTTGAACCCCATCAAATGTGGTGTGGTACTCTTTGAGAATGGGTAGGGAGTGTCCTATGATGTGTCCAGGAATAGGTTCTTTCATGCGTGAGGCTGGGCCTGAGCGTGTGGGGAGCAGCCTTGAGCACGGTGGCAGCGGAGTTTCTTGGCTGCCAGGGCTGGGTTCGTTGGGGCGGGGGGGGGGGGGGGGGGAATGACGACGACTCTCACCCGCCCTTCTCTGGGGCACCCTGAGTGAAACAGCCTGGCATGGCTATGGCAGGCATCATATTGCTCCCTTCCGGGAGAGAAAGCCAGTACATACACTTTATTTATTTATTTATTTTTGCTTTTTGGGTCACACCCGGCGATGCACAGGGGTTACTCCTGGCTCTGCACTCAGAAGTTACTCCTGGCGGTGCTCAGGGGATCATAAGGGATGCTGGGAATCGAACCCGGGCCTGCTGCGTGCAAGGCAAACGCCCTACCCGCTGTGCTATCTCCCCAGCCCCAGCACATACACTTTAAACACATCTTTTGTATGTTACAATAACGACTTTGTATGTTACAGTAAAGACACACACACAAAAATGTTCTCAAGAAAATCGTAAGTAGGTGCCTGCTCCAGATGGAATCCCAGTGACCAAGAGCTTCCACAAGCAAGGCCCAGGTATGGGGGTTCAGGATTATATCTCCAGGTCGCATTGGTGGCAGAGGACCTGGGCTGTCCCTCCCCAGGTCCCCACCCGCCCAGAAGACTGGCTGTTATGTCCACAATTAACCTCCGGGCACCATCTTAGCACACCAACAGCCCTGGCCCAGAGACACAGCAGCAAGTCCCAGATGATACCACAGCACCCGAGAGCTCTCTGGGCCCCATAATGAGCCAGTATCACTGGGGTACCCCAGATGGAGCAGGTGCAGGCTCCCCTCCTACTCCAGATGGAATCCCAGTGACCAAGAACTTCCACAAGTAAGGCCCAGGTATGTGCTAGAGCAATAGCACAGCGGTAGGGCATTTGCCTTGCACGCAGCCAGCCCAGTCGAGTCAGGTTCGATTCTTCTGCCCCTCTCGGAGAGCCCGGCAAGCTACTGAGAGTATCTCACCCGCACGGCAAAGCCTGACAAGCTACCTGTGACGTATTCGATATGCCAAACACCGTAACAACAAGTCTCAAAATGGAGACGTTACTGGGCCCGCTCAAGCAAATCGATGTGGGTTCCAGGACTACATCTCCAGGCCGCATGGCAGCAGAGGACCCGGGCTGTCCCTCCCTGGGTCTCCGCCCAGCCAGAAGACTGGCTGTCATCTCCACAATTAGCTTCCGAGCCCCAACTTAGCGTACCAACAGCCCTGGCCCAGAGGCTCCCATTTGAATGCCAAAATGGATTAGTGCCATACAGAGATGTGTCTGGAACCCATTTACAATCTAGAAATTTACATTTACAATTGTGCCTGCGTGAGCTCTCGTGATATTTGAAATGAGCTATGGAAAATGCATTATCTAGTGTCTGCTCCTGGCAGCTAGGCTTGAATGGTGATGAAAAAATTTGAGCAAAATTAATGCCCCAAATTAGAGAGAGAATATTGGGGAAACTGTCTGCCATAGAGGCAGGGTGAAGACCGCAATGTGTATGTATGTGTGTGTGTGTGGTGGTGGGGGGGGGGGTGATACTTGCGACATTGGTGGTAGAAAATGTGCACTGGTGGAGGGATGGGTGTTTCATCATTGTATGGCTGAATCTCAAACATGAAAGCTTTGTAACTCTATTTCACAGTGATACAATAAAATAAAAAAGTAATGTGGAGTTCATGCCCAATTCAATCAGCTCAATCAATGGCTGAACAAATAACAATACTCCTACATTTTATTTAAAAAAATAAATCATAAGTAACAACCAGAAAGATAGTACAACAGGTGGGGCGTACAATGGGGAGGGTGTTTGCCTTGCACCCTGCTGACCAGGGCTCAATCCCAGGCACCACACATGACCCCCCAGCCCCACCCTCCCAAGCCCACTAGGAGTGATCCCTGAGCACAGAGTCAGGAGGAAGCCCTGAACACCTCTGGGTAGGCCCCAGAAGGAAAAAAAATATATATACTAAAAAAGAAGGGAAAAAAATCTTAAGTACCCATAAAGGCCTTCATCCTTGTCATCTTCACAGAGTAGGGTGAGGAGGAGAAAGTGAGGCGTTGACAAAAGCCCTTGTCTCAGGTGGCCAGTGCACATCAAACCCATGTTGTTCAAGTGTGACTGGCACAGAGAAGCGAAAGGGAAGACTGTCACGCAGGCACCGCAACTGCTTCAGAATCAGTCTCTGGCTGGCCAGTTGCACCTCGCAACACTCTCCTATACAGCTGGAGATAAGGCGCCACAAGTGTCCATCAGCTCCTATCTCCTGAGAGCAACTGCTGCCTTTGTCAGGATGCTCATGTTTCCCACAAGCCTTTTCAGTGACTGGACTGACCTGGTCACCTCCCGTTCTCCTTACTCAATTCAGACACACTGTGTCTCCTCACTGCTGTTCTCCATCTCAGGAGGTCCCCTTGCCTGCTGCCCCGGTCAGAATGGTCTCGACAGACGCCTTATTTCATTCAGTTCTCTCAACTGGCACTTCCTTAAAGATGCCTTAACTGCCCGAGCTGTCCAAAGCAGACATCAACCTCAGTGCCCATACTGCCATTCTGGCTCTGTGTACTGGGAACCTCATCGTTCTCAGAGGCTGAACCCAAAATTCCAGTACGCAAAGCATGATCTCACTCGTTAAGACATATCCCAGCTCTAACATGTTATTTCTTTTAAAACTGTTAATGTTGGATCTATATTGCAAACTATAATGCCCAAAAGTAGAAACAAAGTATGGGGGAAACTGTCTGCCACAGAGGCAGAGGAGCGCTGGAAAGGGGGTGATATACTGGGTACATTGGTGGTGGAGAATGCTCTAGTGGAGGGATTGGTCTTCCATCACTGCATGACTGAAACTCAGACAGGAAAGGTTGTAACTGTATCTCACATACAGATTCAGTAGAGAAACAAAAACAAACAAACAAATAAACAAAATGTTACTGTAGGGACCAGAGCAATAGCACAACAGGTAAGACGTTTGCTTTGCACAGGACTGACCTGGGTTCTATCCCCAGCATCTATTTGGTCATCTCCCCCCGCCCCCACCCCCAGCACTGCCAAGAGTAATCCTAAATGCAGAGCCAGGAGTAATCCCTGAGCACTGCTGGATGCGGCACCCAAACCAAAATAAATAAATAGAACTGCTGCTATCAATCTTTCTGCTGACTTACTAGATATCAAATGAGCACTTAGCCAGATTTCACCAGGGGCAATATTATTATTTCATATTCTATAGTGGACATTAACTAACACAGAAAGACATTAGAACAAATAAAGGGGAAAACTTTCTACAAAGGTGTTGTTTTTAAGCTGTGGCCATCTTTACAGAAAGTACATGAAGCTCAGAACCTTAAAAACAATTTAGATTGAGGACCGGAATGATAGTACAGTGAGTGGGGTGTTTACCTTGCACACAGTCAAGCCAGGTTCAATCCCTGGGATCCCAATTTGGTCCCCCGGGCACTGCCAGAAGTAATTCCTGAGTGTAGAGACAGGAGTAACCCCCAAACATCACTGGGTGTGACCCCAAAATGCCAAAAAAAAAAACCAACCAAAAACACCAATTCATATTTGCAGAAGACTTGCAGAGTGGTGGGCATTCCATGTGCTCTTTACCCAGCTTCCTCT